AAAAAATCAACACCCATCTCAACACCCAAAGCTTATGAACAATAAATTTATAAATTTACCCCTTATCATTTTAATCTTGCATGTTGAGATGGGTGTTGATTTTTTAAGTGTATGTATAATTGTCCAAATTAAAAAGAAGTGTGGCTTTTTTAAGATTTAAGTCCCAATATTAGTACACAAGAAAGTTTAATTGCTATGCAGCACATATCCTGACCATCCAAATAATAATAATAATAACACTATGCAACTTTAAATGTAAACTCCAGTGCTGCTTTTAGGGGCTCTATAAATTCCTGCCACACACCTCTGATTTCTTGCTTGCCATGCTTAAAGCAAAGCTTTGAACCATCCCTTTCTCTCCCTCCTCCGCATTAAAAATCCCCAAAACAAGCATCTTGACCTTTACAATCCTCAAGTTTAATCACAACCTTCTGGGGTAGGTAATGGCTATCTGGACACTGCTTCACCTTCTTTTCGTTCTTCTCTCAACAACTTTGGCACCAACAGCAGCAAATACAGAAGGTATACTTTCAAGTTTCAGTCTGGGTATTAATTATCAACCCATTTGTGTTCTTTTTTTTTTTTTTTTCCCGATTATAATGTGTTTGTGGGTGCAAACCACTGCGCATGCAGGAGATGCTCTATATGCGTTGAGGAGAGCAGTGAAGGACCCAGGAAACGTGCTCGAGAGCTGGGATCCAACGTTGGTGGATCCTTGCACTTGGTTTCATGTTACCTGCGATGGGGACGATCGAGTCACAAGACTGTAAATCCATTATCAAATCCTTTTCTCTCTTTTCTCATTTCTGGTTTTTCTCACTCCTTTTCATGTATGTCCTTGTGCGTTTTTCCTGTGTAACTCTGTTAGTCTCTTGTTTTCTGTTTTCAAAACCTCTTTTTATCATCAAAGCAGCATATTATCAATTTGCAAGTGAACTGTAAATTTTCAATGAAAGGGGGGAAGGGAATAATTAGAATAAGAAGTAAGAGTTACCACCACCGGACTACAAAACATAATTCATAAAATGGAGGCATCACCCCCAATATCAAGGACCCATTCTCCTACCAATGATTTAGTTGTGCAGTCCTTTTGAAGAACTAAATTAATGGCGTTGTACAATCTGCGCAGAGACCTTGGAAATGCAAAGCTGTCTGGCAGTTTAGTACCTGATTTGGGGAAGCTCGAGCGTCTTCAGTACCTGTAAGAAATTCTTTACTATACTACTAACAAAGTCTTCCTTTGTGATGTCACTATTAAAATTACAGTTCAAAACTTCAAATATCATTGAACTACAAAGCATGAAATATCTGATACTTTATGTTGTGCATTTGAGTGAAGTTTAAACAGTATTAACACTTTTTTTTTTTTGGTTACGCTTCGGACTACTCTACACTTTTTTCATTAAAATACTAGACGATGAAGGTTAAATACCTGAAAATGACATTATTTGTAGGAGATATAAATGGGGTTTTGTGGACTTGAGAGAAAGAAACAAATTTGTTGGTATAGCAATAAAAGTGTAAAACATTTATGATCAATCTTACTTACCTACCTTACCAGCCTGTCATGTTCCATTAATACTCTCTATGTTAATAGATTGGAAGGATTTTTTTTGCATTAGATTTGTGGCATGATTGATGACACAAAGAGGATTTAATGTAACATCATCCGGTTGCTGTGTGTTATTCAATGATCAATGTTCAGGGAACTGTACAAGAATGACTTGGTGGGTTCCATACCTGAGGAACTTGGAGAGTTGAAGAGCCTGGTGAGCTTGGATCTTTACCATAACAATCTCACCGGACCAATCCCTGCTTCACTTTCTACCCTCACCAATCTCAAATTCCTGTAAGCAAGCAGACATTTACCTCTTAATTTCTGTCATTAATATTGTAAACTTCTTCTGCAACCGGTTGAGTGCTATTTCTGCGTTGATTGTTTCCAGGCGTCTGAATGGTAACAGACTGACTGGAAGAATACCGAGAGAACTTACTAAACTTGGGAACCTCAAGATCCTGTGAGTCAAGCTTTAATTAAACTCTAAAACACCATGTTTTCTGCTCTGATCTTTGCCTTCCTTTTATGTAGTCATATTAGCTAACACATGAAATTGTGCAGTAACGTGTCGAACAACAATTTGTGTGGTACGTTTCCCACCTCGGGTGCCTTCTCTAAATTCTCAGAGGACAGGTAACAGACCATTTTGATTTAAGGACTTTACAAATGAAATGTTAATTTGATTATTTTTCCCTTAAACTTGGCTTTGTTTTCTTCTTGATAATTTGGATACAGTTTCATGAACAACCCAATATTGGAAGGACCAGAACTGATGGGATTTGTGAGATATGATGGAGGGTGTAAGTGATAAAGCCAGAGGCAAAGCATGTTGCCTCTTCCATGTATCATCTCTTAATATGGGAGGGAATAAAGACACTTGTTCACTTATGACAGTTGCTTTGCACTTCAGACTAGAAAAGACTCAAAAATTCTATTCTATGTTGAAAGAGTCAAAGTATCAGAATCGTGTAGTCCTTTTTCTGTAATATTACAGGAGATAATTCAATAGCTTGCGCCGAAGGTAACATGTCCATGTCAAGAAGAAAACTTGTGAACAGTTTATAGTCCTTTATTATTTTATTAAGATTATTTAATTTTATTTAATATAATTATTAAAAATAATTAATAATTAATAAAATAATTAATATTTATTATTTAATATATTACAATTAATTTATAAATAAATATTTTTAAATATTATCATTAATTATTTAAAAATTATAAATAAATAAGATATTAATCACGTTCAAAAAAAAAAGATATTAATCAAATTAAATAACTTTTAAATATTTTTAATAAAATAATATATAAACACTTTGTTTATTATTTCATTTATTTAAGCTTGTCAATTGGGGGTTTCTTGCCTCCATTTAACTTCACTACTGATTACTGCATTTCAAAGCTCAATTTGGAGGTCCTCTTCATGATAGGGTCGCAACGACCCTATGTCAGCATTCACAACAATCAAACTAAATAATCAATGGCTGATAAATAAAAATAAAAAGAAGCAAATAATCAATGCATCCAAAATTGAAAAATCATTGGTTTGGGACATATACTATGACACACAGGTATGAAGGCATACACTACACAGTTTCATGATAAATCCTAGCTCCAACGTCTTCGGTGGGTTATCTTCAAATATCAAAATAAATCAGAAATTCCATGTCATCATCAATGATCTCATGGTTATTCGATGAACCAGCTCCTAGCCAAAAGACTTGAGAAGGAAATAAGAAACTACCATCCAGATAATTCCTGAAAGAATTCACAAGTCAGTGTTACGGCTCTTCAAAGGCCTGTAAGGTCTTAACTAATTGAAGGGAGGATTTGAAAACCAAAAACTAAGATACCGTCCAGAAGCAAGCTAACCTGTATGTTAAAAAGCTTTCTCGGCTGAATCAGTTAACTTATGCAGCTGCAGCTGTTGACACATATCTGTAACATGCTCTCTTTGCAGCACGAACAATATCTTCAACCTGCAAAATTATGAAAATCATTAACTTAAAGATAACTGGTATTCACACATCCTCAGACAGGAGACAAATCATCTATTGTTCTACAACATGTGTTTATAAATGACTAGGGAACCAGTTCAGTTGACAAATATTATGAGCTTCATGGAGACAGAACCTAGGAAAAAACTCAAAAGCAAAGAGAAGAGAACGACCTGTGGGACAGCCATTCTCTCAAGATTGGCTGCATATGGCATGGGAACATCAGCCCCAGCAATTCTCTCTACTGGTGCGTCAAGATAACCAAAACTATCCTCCACAACAGTTGCACTGTTTCAGCAAAGTGGCATATTCTGTTAGTATACGAGGAGCCTGATAACTAACCAGCAGAAATCAAATGAATTGCAAGGAAAGATGACAAACCAGATTTCTGCACCAACACCATGTTGAGGAAACCCTTCTTCAACTGTTACAAGCCTATTGGTTTTCCTAACAGAAGCATTGATTGTGGATCTATCTAGCGGCCTGATTGAGCGCAAATTTATAACCTGTATCAGAAAAGTCAATTGTTACATCTCCATGGAACAACAATCAAAATTTTTCATAAGGACTTGAACATCTTTCCGTTGTAAATTACCTCAGCACTTATCCCTTCCTTTTCGAGTATTTCAGCAGCCTGATCAACAAGCAGTTCCTCAGTTATGCTATAAACCAAGAGTTTCTTATATACCAGATCTAGAGAATTACATTTTCAGAAAATTACAATATAAAGAATACAACATACTCCAAAAACAAGAAGAAAGCAAAGCAACAGACAGTAAAACACCACATTGGCAAGAGCACTAAGTTTCAAGGTTGACATTTTTTTCTGTCCATATCCTCAATCTGAGGAGCACAAGTGAAACCATTTCTCCTTTTACCAAAAAAAAGAGGCTATACCATTTCTTAGGCCTCTTAAGCTTATGAAAAAGAAATGAGTAATTTAATATACCATGTATTGTAATTTCAAGGGTCATCAAACTCAACCGTCAAGCTTTGTGAAAAATATACTAGGTACCTTTCATGGTCATCAATAACGGAACATCCTCATGAATTTCTACTTATGTATACATCATAATTTTCCAATATTTTTCAAGTTAAAGTGACATATATCATCCAATTTAGGAAACAGTATATCTAAGAGGCTAATCAAGCACAAGATATCCCAAACAGTCACAGGCTCACATACAGTATTGAAGACATACCTTGAGAGAAAAGCCCACCATCTTTGAAAAAGCTGTGATGGTCACATCCTTCCCTTCTCTCTCTATCTGTTAAAAATAAGCAGTAGGAAGGCAAAAGTAAATTCAAGTCTATGCAATATATGAGAAATGAGTTACAAGAAAATCAACAGCTGCAAAAGTTTTAAAAGCAAATTACAAATGAGGAGAGATTTACCTTAGCTTTCCCTATTGGAAGGCAAAAACTGGAATCAAGAGCTTCAGAAGAAACAGGGAATGACTCACCATATCTGAAATATAAAACATAATCAGTTTCAGAATGCTAAACACAACTAATTATGATCTTGATGGGATCAGAAACTCAGAACATCCTTCAACAATTACTTACATTAACTCATTTTCAAGGAAAACAACTGGATCAGGGTCCCTAATAGCAGCTTTGAGCAGTCCACGAGCATCTTCAGAAGAGTATGGAGACAAAACTTTCAACCCCGGGCATGACCCATACCATGCAGCATAACACTGCAAAGAAATTCAAGAAAACAATCAACAAATACAAGCTTTCTCATATATCAAGAACCACGTAGACCTTAAGAAAGATCTGAAATAGTTAGATTGTATATTGCCACCCAGTACATAATTAATCTAAGTTTAACCTCAGAATGTATTCCTCTCCTCTCTTTCATGTTTTACATGCTAGGTGAGGAGGAGGAAGTGAATCAACAAAAGAATTTGCGTAACTGAATTCCTAAGAAACCATACTTGAGAGTGTTGGGCACCAACTCCAGCAGCTGCTCCATTAGGTCCTCGAAAAACAATGGGCACGGTCATCTGGCCAGCAGACATGTAGTTTGACTTTGCAGCAGAATTGATAATGTGGTCAATTGCCTGCCATAAAAGCATTAAGCCCAAAATACATATCAAAAAGGAAATTTTCATCATATAAATTCTGAAAAATACACATTAAAACACATACAATCACCTTAAATAGGCATTTAACTAGTTTACTGCCATTTGAAAGAACAAGATCAGTCTAGTTCTTAACCGTGAAACAGTCTAACTGTCCAAGACATCTGGAAATATGATATTTTGGAGAGTAGAAGAGTATAACCAATTATGATTTGGAAACCTAGCAAGATTTACACCTTAATAATTATCTTTAGATTCTTTAAAGAACCATATCTTTTGATTGACAGGTTAAATGAAATGAGAAAAGATTAATTGTTTATCCACAACTGGCTTAATGGATACCACAAAAAACCAAAAAAAAAAAAAAAAAAAGAAAAAAAAAAGAGAGAGAGACGAAGAAGAAAAAGAAAACACTCTACACCCGTAGTTTATTTGCTTCTACAAAATCCTTCTGCTCAAAATCTCTACTTATAAAAATCTGGGAAGTGCATTTCCCAGGAAAGCCAGTGGTTAAGAAACTCTTCCACCTATGCAAATATTAGTTGACATCTCTTGGATCAAGGAAGAGTAATAAATAGCAATAAAAACCAAAGTTCATAGCATGCCCCCATAATTTCTTACACAAAACTAAGGTTTGACTGCATTAACTCAGTTATGTCACTTCTCTCTACCATGGTTCAAGGCCCAATGGTTATACTTTTGTATCCAACCTTCCAAGGATTTGAATACCATGTTTATAATCAAATTTTCTCTAAATGATGATTCTTTATTTCACTGTTTCTTTTTTCCTTTTCAAAGAAATAGCATATTCATGTCTCATTTTGATAGTGTTGGGAGAGATGCCTTGAATTGCTTGACAAAGAGAGTCCAAGTGTCCAAGTTGAGGAGTCAACCCCTAGACTCTAGGGGTTGACATCATGAAGACTTGGGAGTAGTCAGCGGTTGACACTAGAAGAATCACTGACAAAAGTGTTGACACCCGACGCCTGCCGTGGGAATCAACACATGAAGGGGAAGTTGCATTGTGAAGTTGCAAGATAAGGCAAAGGTATCAACACCTCAGTGGTGGAAGGTAATTTCAAAGGGCAATTTCAAGAGGAGGTGCTGACACAGAAGGGCATCCATACCTCAGTTGCCAAAATGATGACGCGGCTTTCTTTGAGTGGTGGATTGGACTTCATTCTTGTAACAAAACATCCCAACTGAGGAACCCATATAAATATTAAATATGTGTCATAAGCTAACCCTAGAGGAAGATTATGCAAATCTTCTATTGAAATACTTAGTGATTTGAGAGGTGAGAAACACTAGAGAGATACACTCATTTAAGTTTCCAAGGGGTGTTAGAAATAGTAATGTTAGAAAGTGTTGATCATCAAGAGTGGCTGAGTTTGAGAGATTCTTTGAGTGAGATTGAGTACGAGATCATCAACAATCAGAATTGGAAAATATGGCCATACTCTAAAATCCCAAACGGTCAGATTTGGAAAATATGGTAGTACTCTAATAAATGAACAGAATCAAGAGATCCAATACAGAATCCTCTTACCTGCATTGCAAAGTTAAATGTCATAAACTCTATTACAGGCCTCAAACCATAGTATGCAGCACCAACCCCAATCCCAGTAAAACCAGCCTGTGAAAATGTGCAACAAACAATTAGTTTCAAGGAAAAGAATATCATCCAGAATAAGAACAAAAACCATCAACTTGACAAATTCAAACATATGAGATCAATGATTAGATCGACTAATATCTGATAATTATGAAAACTACAGAGGGAAATAAAAAATATAGTTTAGGTTGTTCAGGCAACAGCAATAACCTCAGTGATCGGAGTATCAAGAACTCTTTCAGGTCCATACTTGTCCAAAAGCCCTTTGGATATCTGCACAAGAATCAAATAAAAGCCAAAGCTTAGAATAATTAGAAAATCCATTTTGGTCTAGACATATGTGAAGAATAGAGAATTTCTCTTTGATAAGAGAAACTTACCTTGTATGCACCCTGATACTCCCCAACCTGAGATTGAAATGAAAAAGAAAAGATGAACATATGAAAAGAAAAATAGCAAATAATGAGATAAAAAGGTAATTCCTAATGACTTTTTGTACCTCTTCTCCCATTAAAAAGACTTTAGGATCAGCTGACATTTCCTCATCTAGTGCAGAATTTAAAGCCTCTCTTACTGTCATCTGTGCATAATTTCCATTCCAAAAAATAAGTAAACGAGTATTCTTCCTATTTCCTAAACAGAAGTCAGTAGTAACATTAAGTGCACAAAGTATGCACACCATATTGTATATAGATTCATACATAAAAATATAGGTACCATGCAAAAGAGACTCCTAAAGTTAAGACACTTAGACACCCAAAATCTGCTAGAATGAGTGTGAAGATTTACACGAGAATACAAATACTAGATCTCAGATAGAATGAAGCAGACATAATACCATGAACCTTGGCTGAGAGACCAAATAACAAATTGCAGGAAAAGCATATAATTATGCAAAAGTAAATGAGACAAGAAACCTGTTTTGCAGCAGAAGAGTAACTTCTAAACACCTTCTCCATAGGTCTTATCCTCTGCAGGGACTGCCCCAACATCTAAACAAGCAAACATCAAAAAGTCATAAATTAAAATGATATATCATATTCATTAAAAAAATAATAATAAAGTTCATACCTAAAGACATGAATAAAAATTGTATTAAAAAAAAAAAGAAAAAGAAAAAAGAAATCACCTTTTGCCTTGCAGCTCCAAGCATCCTTTGTTCTTTACTTTGCTCTAATCACAGAAAAACAGCAAAATTGATCAAAATAATCCAGAAATCACTCCCAGAGCATGATCTTTGGGGAAGATAAAGACTCAGAAACAAAAATAACATCAAATTAAGTCTAAAACACATGTTCTTACTATAAATAACTTAGAATCTACTAGCGATTTGTACTGAAACAACGCGAATAACCGAATCAGTATCATTGATTTCTGATTTGGAAGTTTCGAAAAAAGAAGGAACTCATCAAGTAAACGTAAGAATTATTAGGTAATAGGCGATTGAATCGACAAGCCTGAGATGAAAAGCCGGAAAGTGATGATGTTACACAGAGGAAGGATACGAAGAACGCACCTGGTTTGAGATGGACAAGGAATTCAAAGCCGGAATCCAGTCACCAGAAGAATTGAGTCGGCGACAAGAGGGAAGACACCGGAGAAATGGAGGAGCTAATGCTCTGCTATCATTTCAGAAACCAGACACCAGTATTGTTTAATAAATTTATTCAATTTGATTTTATTTCTAAGTGAAAGTGTTTTCCTTATAAGTTAAAAAAATAGGAATATCCATAAAATTATTTTAATATTAATAACTTCTATTATATGTTTTATTAAAGATATTTAATTAATTTTATTTTTTAAATAATAAATTTTGATTTCATTGATTAATTATTTATTTTTTTATCAATTTTATCTTAGAAAAATTAAAAAAAATTATAATAAGCTAAATAATTAAAATTAAAAAATAGTTATAAAATTTGAGTTAAAAAATATTTATCTTTTTAAAAATATTTTAACAATTAATATTATTTTAGAATATATTCAAAATAAAAAATATATATGATTTTGAGTTTAGATAAAGAATATATATTTAGTAATAATTTTTTGATCTGATTAAAAAAAATTAAATTTTTAAATACTCGAGTTTGAATCTTTTAAGTTGAGAAATTAGTATTAAAAGAGTTTTTTAAAAATTAAAAGCAAGTTAATTATGAGTTAATAAAAAAACAAAAAAAAAGATATATTTTTATATTTGATAAAATAAAGACCCAACACTAGTATTGTTTAATAAATTTATTCAATTTGATTTAATTTCAAAGTAAACGTGTTTTCTAAGTTAGAAAAAATGGAAATATCTATAAAATTATTTTAATATTTGTAATTTCTATTATATGTTTTATTAAAGATATTTAATTAATTTTATATG